ACAAATTCATAAAAGCTATAAAATCATGAAAGCTATAAACTCGTTAAGGTTGCGAGCTATGCGGACTTGAAAGCTTGGAAAGCTTAAAAGCTGCGAGAGCTTGAAAACAACGACTTGAAAAGGTATAAAATCATGAAAGCTGTAAACTCGCTAAAGAAGCTTAAAACTATAATAACTCAAAAAGCTTAAAACTATAACAACTTTGAACCGTAAAAGCTATAAAGCAGCAGAAGTTGAAAAGCATTAGCTGTAAGAGCTTGAAAGATTTAAAAACTTGAAATCCGCAGAACAATGAAAGATGATAAGGTGAAAAGTTAATAATGCTTAAGAGATCTACAAGTTTCTAAGAAGAACCTTATAAGTAAGCGATCAAAACTTGACAGGTGTAAAAGCTTGAAGGGCTCTATATTTTTGCTGTAGCTAACCTGCAAGTCAAGCCATTTGTGAAACTCTGTTCTCATGTACTGAACATATTGGCTGACATTTTCATTAATTAGGCATCTCTAGGCATTTGTTTTTTGGTAAATTACCAATAACCTATGAAGAGAGAGGGAGCACATATGTGAGTTAGAAAGTCATTTTAAGCACAGGGAACACTGAAGCGCTTAGTTTTTTATTATCATTTCCAATTAAACACATAACAGTGAGTTAAGATGGAAAAAAAGAAGAAGAAAATAATAAAAAATAGATAGAATGCAAAAATAAATTTATTTAAAGGTGGACCATAGGAAAACAACTGAAAGGGATGGCGAACAAGCAGAAGAATAGACAGCACGGTCACTGTTCCGGCAAAAGTGTAAGAGAAAAATTGAAAAAAAAACAGTATTTAGTAAAGGAGACAGTGTAGCCTCTTCTAAAAACACGCTTCATATAAAACCCACCTGTCAGAAGAAGCATAGTAAGGCATTAATATCTTTAGACTAAAATTAAATTTAATTTTAAATTAAATTGAAATTAAGTCCTTAAGACATCAAACTATTCATTACTCCAGAAAATAGCTATGTGTTTCATATTGAGATCTCGCTTAGATATCATTGAACACAAACTCTTTTCTTCCGTTTCATCGCAATCTCATAAAATCTCTCAGGTTATGCGTGGAATTTTAAGCAAATTATTATTAACGGATCAAATATTTGATCGCTTCTTAAGAAAGAGATAAAATATTTTTTTAACTACCTAATATGGCCGACCGACTATCGCAACTAATCCGAAGAGTACGTTCTATAGACTATCAAATGCTATAACGTATGCATTAAAAGTACTAAAGTACTATAAAACTCTACAAAATAGTTTTAACATAAACCTTTCATTGCTCTTAGCGAAGCCAACAACCATTTTGATATTAATTAACGCATCAAAGATGGCAATTACTTTTAAAGGTTCGTGCTTAAGGTTTAATAAACTGAATTAAAAAAGTTGAGATAAGGCAAAAAAATTCATTCACACATCTACACGCATATATATACATTCATACATATGTATATGCATCTTAACAATTTGGATATTGTCTCTTAAAATTAAGCAATTCTTAGATAACAACATATCCTTTAATATTATGTAAAACATTTAATTAATGATAAATAACATAAATACGTAAAATATTTCTATTGCCTTTAAAACGAATTTTGAGATCATTTTTCAGTTGAAACAAGCGGATAAATAAATAAATAAAGATTGTCTTACTTTTTATTATATACGCCATGCATGCTGTCTCTCTACTATCAACTATCTTTAAGATAAATCTGCGCAAATTTATCTTGCGGCTTACAACAAGCAAAGATCCTTTTCAAACATCGAATTTAGAATATGTATATACAAATGTGACTTAGCGTAAGATTTTGAATGAACTTTGAATTGTTGTTGATTGAAACTTGTACGTTCGCAAAAATGGAAGGGAAAAAGTCCAAGGTTAAGATGTGCCTTATTAGTCGATTGCTACGGACCCTCACAATCTACCATTATATCAGTTCAGTGTAAGTCCGATTCACAATTGAAATTATAAAACAACAGTCGAGGGAGGAGAGCTGGTCATTATTTGCCTGCGATAAGCTCAAAATATACAAAATCTAACTATAACTAGAAACTGAGAAAAAAAGCTTTCCTTGAGGTTAGCTAATAAAATGCCATCACAACTGGCACGCCCATATTGAATTAAATAATTTGAAATGACAATATTTTGTTATAATATGCGAAAGCGAGAAATGTAATTCTGATTTGCTATAACTTGCAACGATGGCGGCATTGGATGTTACATATTAAATGTTTTCGTAAATTCACAATAGCCAGAAAGGCTTGAGGCAAGCAGGCTCTTAGGGCCCATCTTTTATTATACCAATCCCTTTTTTCAATCAATTCGAATAAGTCTATCCACCTGTCAAATACATCCTGTGCCTATCTCTTGTTTTACTTATTTGTGTATTCAACCTATGTCTAGAGGATACAGTTTTCAAGGCATATACAGCTTACAGGCTAAGGTATGGAAAATATTACGCGTTCCCAAATAAGACGATATTTTGAAAAAGTCGTTATGTGAGAAACGTTAACATTTCTACAAAATAAAGTCGATGAAATGTAAGCATTATTTCGGGACACTAACTGAAAATGAAAAGTTTGAGTTGATCGGGATTGCTTTTTGGAACTCCTCACAAGAAGACAAGCTCCCGTAAGCCAACAGAACTCAAATTTTATAATGGGAGGTTAATGCAGAAAATCGCTTACATTTGAACGTCATTACTATGTATCCCAGATACCAATTCGCCACACACCCATTCCGCTTATATTATATAACAACAAGATATATGTTTTTATAGTATTTTCTGGCGGCAATAAGTAACGAATCAGAACACCTTTCATAAGCTTATTAAATGTGTAGGATATCAGTTTACGGTTTGGGAGGGCCCTCGCTCCTCCTACATAGTAGCTAAGGAAAACTAAAGCTGATCAGGGTACTTTTTCAAGTTTTATGAAGAAAATTAGCAAGAAAGGTATTTAATGGTCGACCTTATTTATGCTTATCTATAAGATGTTTACATGTTTTTCATATTGGAATGAAAAGCAGAAAAACGAATACACAATGCAAAGGACGACAAAAGAAGGAAGACAAGTTTTAATTGTTGCTGAGCTTACTAACGATTCCTATATTCTTGTGCTTTTCCTTTCTGAGAGGGTATCCGGTTGTACCTTAGTATATTTTAAAAGCAATTAAGAAAATATTTGCAGAGCTTCAGTTTTTTATGTCAATTTTTCGCAAGTGACAAACGGACAGTAGACATTTATAGACACCTGTATGTCCAACTAACTCAACCATCCTTTAAAAAGTGTGTTAATGTGTACCTTTGAAAGTCTTGAAACGTTATATGACAACATTATTTATAATGCACAGAGAAGAGCATTGCTTTTGTAATTAACTCATCGGCTCACTCACCTGTAGTTCGGATTCGGTGACATCAATTTCACCGCGATAAACAAAATCAATAATTGTTTTTAAATCTGTAAATATAATATCGCCCGGTAATATAATCGTTGGATGTTTACAAGGATTTTCCAGCAATAATTTTTGAAAATATGAAGAGCACGCGGAGAGTACAACCTATGAGATGAGATAATATTCGAGAGAAAATATTTATTTATTGATTTGGTCTTTTTTTGTTTTTTTTTTTTTTTTTTTTTTTTTTTTTTGTGTCTTCGCAACAACAACAATCATGGAATTAATAGATATTACCTTGTGGGCTTTCAGGGAACCATGTTCACAGGAAAGCGTTACATCCACAAATGATAAATCTTCACGCAATTGCTGGAACACCGAAGTCATGGTGTTTTGATAGTTGTTCCAGCGTAAACTAAAATACTGATGACTTCTTTGAGCCATTTTGCTGATATTTTGTTCAAATTTTTGCTTCTCTTTCAATAATCGTTGTTGTGTAACCACCTCCTCCTACTAACAGGTTTCTGATTATATTCTGTTCTAGCTGATGATAATCAAAATACGAATTGTGTCGTCTGACGTCTCTGAAGGAAATTTCATGCAAAAGAAGCTTTTATTCTTCTTCTTATTGTTCTTCTTCTTTTTTTTTTGCTTTTCTTTTTTGTTTAAATTAGAAATTTCTTTAACGTTGCGCGATCTATAAAAGAATAAGAAGAAATAAATAATCAGTTAAGAGAGAAGTGTTTAGAAAGGATAACTAATCGTGTAGACGACTTGTTATCCATCCATCCATCCATCCATCGACCAGTTCAATAGATATAAAGCCATGAAACGAAATCAACTACTGCATCATAAAATGCTTGTTCTTCTTTACCAACCAGCATAATATTATTATATGAAAAGTGAACGAATTTTTGGAAAGATATTTTGTGTGTGTGTATGTGTATGTTTGTATGTTTGTATGTTTGTATTTCTAAATATACCTTGCCTCACCTTGCCGCCGTTTACCGTCAACGGTTTCATTAGTTAGTTACCTTACGACACATAAGTTCTCTTCTCGTTTATACATACACACACCACAATATCGCTTATACGTGAAGGTAATGCACTTTAAATGTTAGCAGACATAGACGGACAGACACATTATCGGTCCTTTTATGAAAAGAAAACAACAAAACAACAGAAACTTGTTTTCTAGAAGAATATATTGTTTTTATTTTAAAACAAAAAACGTAAAAACAAAAAGCGAATACATAAACAAACAATGGCACCAACATCTCTTGTCTTTAAGTAAATTCATATTATGCAGCGTGTCTGTTACAGCCAAACGTAAGAACAACAGGAAAGTAACAAACCGAACAGAAATATCGGCAGCCATAGCAAGTATAGCTGACTACTGCTGGTAAGGAATGGCTTCTTAAGCTACATAATGTACACGTACATAAGCATTTATGTTTATATGCATTTATGTATGTATGTATGTATGTATGTATGTATGTATGTACTTACATATCTGTGTATGTTTGTTTCGTATGTAAGTATGTAAGTATGTGTAGACGTATGTATGTATACGTGCATATGCATGTATGTATGTATGCATGTATATATGTATATATGTATTAATATATATGTCTGTATGCAATGAATAAAATGTAAGTCTAAACACAAAAAAAGTTCATGTAACTCTATGGACGAAGGTTATCTTGCCTTCATAAAATAAAAACAGAAGTTCATGCAAAGTAAATTTTAAAATGAGTGAAAGAAAAAAGCTTCATTTGCTTTAGAACGAATTATGTATAGTCATTGTTGCTTCATATGCAGGGATTATAATTAAGTTTTAAGCTAATTTTTGTTTTCGTAAAATTTATGTATGTAATCTTAAGAAAATTTTTGTATGTAATCATAAGATTCGAAGTTTTGCTCATTCACTTTGCAGGTAGTCACATAGACTAATCCGTAGGTACAAAAGACTGCAAATTAAAGGAAGTGCTTTGTTGGCATATCTCATTTCAGCATACCTAACGTGGCCGAGAAGGGTTTCAAAGAAAAGTAACTAAGCTTATTGAGGCTGGAAAGTGACTTTTGCCCTTTGACATATTTTTACTCTGCTACCTTAGCCTTCCTTTAATAATCGGCTTATTTTCTTTCAAGAGCATGCCTTTGCGACGATCTTATGAAGGTTAACGCAGTCCACCTGATCTGAAGGCTGCCGTAAGTGAAGGCGCTAAAAATATTAGCCTTTGTCGTTAATGTTAAACGTTTGCTCGCCTGACGCCCATAATGATGCTTGCGTCGTCCTCGATAAACGCAATCATTTTTGATCGTCCATTATTATATCGCAGTGATTTCCTACGAATTAGTATGTAAAGACATTAAAGTCGGCCAAGATCGACGCTATTAGAAGCCTTACTCCACTTCGCCTACCACTAATCCTTATTATTACACATCATCTTTACGCAAAAGCATTATTTTCAAGAAAGTCCGCATATATTGAACAATGTCCAAAACATCGCATGGAGTTGTCCAAATTACGCAAACTCAATTCACTCCTTAAAAACTTTATGGTACGTTGAGATCTAAAATACATACCTATGTGATCTAAATTCCCTATCTCCCCGTTAATTTTTGTGCTACATCACTACTATGGAAATCATTTCAATTCAGTTTTTTTCTTAAGGGCTTACAATAATACCTAGGAAATCTTCTCAGGTGAAGTCCAAGAAATAGACGCGTCACTAGCATAAAACATTAACAATTAGGCCCTTTTGACCTATAAGGGTTTATATTTCCTGACATCGTGGTACACGTGGTACTATTCAAGAAAAGACCTACATACATAGTCCAAATTCGGTAAAGTTGATTTATTCGTCAATTTCCTATTATGAACCGATCTTCACTATGATATATTGAAAATTAGATTCTTTTACCTTAAAAGGATTTAATTTTCACAGGGACGGTTATAAAAGGAGGAATACCGAACTACTCTGTCACCCAGTGGGTTTTGCTAAAAAATATTGAAAGATTCCAATTTTTTTTTTCCTTATAACGACTTTTAAAAATAGGACGTTTCATGGGGAGCGGTCGAAAAAGTGGATCAATCCAAACCATTTTCAGAAGCGTTCGTCCTTGGGTCAAAACAACTCAGTGTACCAATTTTCTTCAAAATAGCTCAAATATTTCGACCTGCAGAAAGCAAGACCGATGGCCGGACAGACAAGATTAAATCGATTCTGAATAATAAAAAGGGGGTCTATGTTGAGAGCTTCTACGTGTTACATACGACCGCACGAACTTAATATACTCCGTATAACAAGTGGTATAGGGTATAAATATGCGGACTTATATGATGACTTAATGTTTTGAACCTCTTCATGAGTACAATAAAAGTAAGCCTTTATATTGCAATACTTTTCCATTCTTAGAATTTCCCAAGTAAGAATTATCCCATACATAAAAATCAATCAAATTCACATCACCTATTTATTGTACCTTACCTCGTATAAGGATTATCATGCAAAGTAAGTTATACGATAAAAAGGCTTGTTTCCTAATATTTTTCGATGAAAATTGATCAATATTACTAATCTCGCATATAAATGAACTCTACCGAATTTGGACAACTTAGATCTATTTACCATGCCGCGGCCCACATAAGTATACTCATGAAAAGTAACCTCTTATATGGCAATGAAGTCTTATTTTAACTATTAATCACGAATATACATGAATAGTAATAAGGTCTATAGCAAGCAGATTCATTTTGCTACCTGTAGACCAGGTCAGTCTGCGCCTTGGTCTTTCTTCCTACGGCAACATGGCATATTATAAAAATTTTACTAATGTTTCACGAGACCGCTAACTATCAAATTATATATACTAGAAATCAAATTGAAATATGAATACAGACAAACCTTCTATAACGCGTACTATTCGTACCATGTGATATGAAACTAAAAATTACTTCACTTTAGGAAATGCCGGCTGTAGAAACTGCGTTAATACAAATATATTCTTATTATTATTATTATTATTATTATAATTTTAGACTAATGAAATAAATTCTTAAACTAAAAGAAAAAGACGTTGAGCCCTACCATCACAGGCAACATCGGCTCTAATTTGTCCAAGTACATTAGATATTAAGACTAATAGGTTGAATAAAGTAATATATTGCATTGATATTCTGTTCTGTAGATGATTCTAGAATGTCCATAGGATTAGCCGCTCCAAATACAAGGAAAAGTTAAGGCAATCGCAGAGAATGTGCGAATTTATCAACAATTGCCGATTGGTGAGGAGGACTTCTTTAAGATCCATTGGTGAATTGCAATTGCATAGACAAGACGAATTCTTGCAAATGTTTGGATCTTGATTTTCTCTCAACGTTTGTTCGATATGAAAGTGGAATTAATTGAGCGTTAATGGAAGAGTAGGGCTGATGATGTCGATTTCCTTCAATAATTTTCTTTTTAACTTTTTTCCCAATGTATCTTTGAAGATCCAACTTTTCCTTGACATTTCCCAATGAACCGAAATGACTTGGTAACCAAAGCCTTTCGACGGGTATTGCAATGACATTCCTTAATTTGTTGATGGTGCTTCATCTCGAAGTCGAAGGATTCCGTATACGTTTTAATACCGATAAAATATCAGTAACAATAACGGTTTGGAGTTTGTCTTTACGAGAAAGATTCGCAGCGTGAAAGACATATCTGGTTTCGGTTGTGAAACCTGAAGCAAATATGGCATTCTATGGAAATCACTGCCGGGCTTTACGGAAATCACGTTACAGATGACTCACAATTAATACCTTTTAATTGGAAATGATATTAATACATGGCAGTTGCGTTATATAAGACTTCACTGTATGTTTAATTAGCCTATGACCCACCTATACTAAAAGATCAAGAAACTAATTTTAATATAAAATTTGTAATATACCCAAGAGGCTGACTCATGACTCTACAATACACTCAGCTTCATATATGTATATAGTTCTCGAATTAGCTTTGAATATTTACGAGAGTGGTTCGATTCATGCTTAAAATAAATTGTTTAGTGTAATCCATCCATCGTAAATGCTCTTTAAGAAACCAGCATTCTAATGCTGGATTATATTCGACTGTGGTCGAAACTGCTATATACTCGCCCTACTTTCAATTTCAGCTTACTTTTACTTTACTTTATTAAGTTAATAATAATAATCATGAATGACAAATATATATATATACAATAATAATTATCATTACACTGTCAAAGGGTGTCAAGTCTCTTGCGGCATAGATGTGAACAATGATAGTTTATAGATGTGGATCGAGACGTAAATACAGACGTAATTGTAAATTATAGAAGGCTTTAATAGGCGCTTTAAACCCTCTCAAAGCCCCCTAAGAATTATTTGAATATTGAGTGGATAACGAGCTCCAAAATTTTATAGCTTTGCTGCTGACAAATACTTATGCCCGAGAAGGATTAAATTCATTGTCCTTTCAGATTTAGCCAACAACATTTTTTCATGTAAACATTTTGGTGTTGGACTGCGAATAAACTTATGGAAAAAGACTACTTTTCCAAGGTTAAGGTACACTTAAAGATAGGAAGCTAAAAAGTTGAGCCCAGAACTGCGATACCCTACCACATTTAGGTTTCTTAAAAAAGTATCCCTAGCAC